TGACGTAGAGCTCTAACAGTCGTCGCGGTAATCCACTATTTTCCCAGCTATCCGAAGTGGGGATGGCTTCTAAGCCCAGCCCCAACATAGGGTTTGACTTGTCGAAAACCCAGTGACATGCTCGCTGCGATGTGGAAGAGAAACTTCATTTCAATTTTCAAATCAGTAGATGTCTGTGGGACACAACCGCATATAATTCACCCGAACACCTATATTTTTATATTACCGAAATCTACTATACTTTCATATTGTCACCAAAACTAATAACATCTACGAATTATCCAAATGATTTGATTATATGGCTAGATACAAAACATCATGTTGCTTTTATGGGTGTGGGGTGGAAAGCGGGTGAGAAGTAAAACCCATACTCAACCCAATTCGTCAATTTAAAAAACGGGTAGAAATTGTATTTGATTCACAATCCGTCTACACTGGATTTTACCTATTACATTTGGAAAGAATCTAAGATTGGCACTCAATCGAGTCACATGGGACGCCGATTTTAAATTTGGGCCACCACGATTTACACTTGAGGAAAATTGATTTTTGACCAGCATAAGCCTGATAGATCAAACGTATTGCAATCTGACAACTGATCTTATTGATGGGAAGTGAATATAAATACATGACTCTAGGCCAGAGAGATCGGCCACAACTAACAACCCAGAAACCCCTTTCCTATAGATAAGCTACTCCTCTAACAGACTAACTCCACTTAGCTAATAATCAGCTTTGTGGTTGCACACAACGGCTACTGACTCAACTAACCAGACTACAGACTTTAAGTACTAAAACGTAATAAGACAAACGACACAGTTTTATTCAAAACACACTTAAACTGGAAATGGCGCCATGATCAGCTAACAAAACCTCCCCTGAACTGAAGCCAGGATGTTGTCTTCAGTTCATCTCCTCTTCAAGTCTCAGCTTCAAACTCAGTGCGACTCACCATTCCAAGCTTGCCCCTTAGGATCTGAAACGTCTCTATTTTGAGGGCTTTAGTCATCAGATCAGCAACCTGCTCATGAGTTCTGCAGTGTTCCATCATCACAGTTCCTCCATTTGCAAGTTCCCTTAGAAAATGAAACCTTACATCTATATGTTTGCTGCGCCCATGGAGGACTGGATTCTTGGAAAGCTTGATTGCTGAACTACTGTCACACAGTATCTGAGTTGGTGAATTCACACTCTTCTTCCACCCTATCTGCTCCAAAATTCTCCTGAGCCACACACATTGTGCAGCACTGAAAGCAGCAGCCACAAATTCAGCCTCCGTTGTTGAAAGAGTTACAATTGGCTGCTTCTTGGAGGCCCAAGACACCACCCCACCTGCAAGAAAGAACACATAGCCACTCGTGCTTCTTCTATCATCAGCATCACCTGCATAATCACTATCGGTGTAACCCATGAGATCATCACCTTCTTCATTCTTCCTTCTATACCAAATTCCAAAATTCAAAGTTCCTTTAAGCTATCTTAGAACTCTTTTGGCGGCTAACATGTGCTGCCTAGTTGGTGATTCCATATACCTGCTTAAGAGGCAAACTGAGTACATGAGATCAGGACGAGTTGCTGTTAGATAAAGCAAGCTTCCAATGAGTTTCTTATACTCAGTTGCATCCACAGATACACCATCCCCTGCCTTTGTCAGTTTTGTTCCAGGCACCATGGGAATGTGAACAAAGTTACAGTTGGACAGACTGAACTTCTCCAGCAGCTCTTTAGCATACTTCTGTTGCCCTATGAAAATCCCAGCCTCATTTTGAATTACCTCCACCCCCAAGAAGTACCTCATTTTCCCCAAATCTGTCATCTCAAACTCCTTTTGCATTGAGGTTTTGAACTCATCAATAAGCCTAAGACTGCTGCTGGTGTACATCAGGTCATCTACATAGATGCTGACTATCAGTATGTCATTGCCAACCTTCTTGATGAATAGAGTGTGCTCATATGTGCTTCGTTCAAAACCATTTTTGATGAATAGAGTGTGCTCATTGCCAACCTTCTTGATGAATAGAGTGTGCTCATATGGGAGCCTGTTTCAGGCCATACAAAGCCTTCTGCAACTTATAAACCTTAGATTCCTCCCCAGCAACCACAAACCCTTGTGGTTGCTCTACATAAACCTCTTCAGCAAGTTCACCATAGAGAAATGCACTTTTCACATCTAGTTGATATACTTCAAATCCATGAAAAGCAGCAACAGCCAATAGAGTTCTAATTGTATCCCATCTAGCAACAGGAGCAAATACCTCTGTGTAGTCTATTCCATGCCTTTGTGAATATCCCTTGACCACCAGTCGTGCTTTGTGCTTGTCTATGGCTCCTTCTTCATTGAACTTTGTTCTGTATACCCACTTCAGTCCAATTGGTGTAACTCCCTCTGGGCAAGTGGTCAGTACCCAAGTACCATTCTTGATGATGGACATTATTTCCTTCTTCATTGCTTCGTTCCATCTGGGGTCCTTTGCAGCTTCCTCATATGTGAGAGGATCACCAGCTATAGTTGTCAAAACCCACCAGTCCATATCCATAAAATGGCAGTCATAGATGGATAAGTGACTTGGAGGTTTTCTGACTCTGGGACCCAGGTCTGTGAGTGGTAACCCCAGTGCATCAGTTGGAGAACCTTCCTCAATTTCCTCCTCCTCCTCTTCTTCTTGTTCTGGAATTGAGTATGTGCCAGCAGTAGCAGCAGCAGAAGAGTTTGTGGCTATGGGAGTTGCAGGACCTCCTGTGTCTTCAGCTTCTTTAGCAGACTCTTCCTCCTTGTCCGAGTCATACCAGACATCTTCACTTCCTTCCCACGTAAGCTTGAGGGAAGATGATTGATCTTCAGATTCCCATTCCCAACCTTTCATCTCATCGAAGATCACATCCCTACTGATCACCACTTTCTTAGTAACAGGATTGAAGAGTTTGTAAGCTTTAGATTCAGTAGAGAGTCCCAAGAAAAAACATTTTGTGCTCTTACTGTCAAGTTTCCTTCTTTGCTTGTCTGGTGTATGAACATAAGTTGTACACCCAAAAACCCTGAGATGTGAGACTGAAGGAGGCTGGCCAGTCCACAACTCTTGAGAGGTCTTTCCCTGGTTTGCAGCAGTGGGGCTTCTATTCAGTATATGGGCTGTCCAGGCCACAGCTTCTGGCCAGAAGAGAGCTGGAACTTTACTATCCTCCAGCATACAACGCACCATGTTCATCACTGTTCTGTTTTTCCTCTCTGCCACCCCATTCTGTTGAGGGGTGAGAGCAGCAGTGAGTTGTCTTCTGATTCCCTCTTCCTCGCATAAATCCTTGAACTCATGTAACATGAATTCAGCACCTCTGTCTGTTCTCAAACATGAGATAGACAGTCCTGTTTCTTTTTCAATTTGTGCCTTGAACTTCTTGAACAACTCTAGAGTTTCAGATTTGGCCACCATGAAGTAGACCCACAGTTTACGACTGAAGTCATCAGTTAATGTAAGAATATACCGTTTCCCCCCATTTAATGTAGGAGAGATTGGACCACAAAGGTCAGCATGAAGCAACTGAAGCTTCCTTGTGGCCCTCCAATTGCTTTTCTTTGGAAACGAGAGCCTGTGTTGTTTTCCTACAAGGCATGTCTGGCACACTCCAACTTCACCCTTCAACCTTGGCATGTCTTGAACCAAGTTTTGCTTCTACAGATTCATCAAACTTTGCCAGTTGAGATTCCCAAACCGTCGATGCCAAAGCTGAAGAGATGTGTCTCTATGATCTTCAGTCTGCAAACACTGAAGTTCCTTGTGCTTAGGAGAGTCTGCGTGCAACACAAACATCCTATTAGACTTCATTTGGGTTTGCAATAACAGCCCTTTGTCTCCATGAAACAGTTTGCAGTAGCCATCTTTCATCAAGAATGATACTCCCTTTTCCTGCAACTAACCAACACTCAGCAGGTTGGTCTTCAAACCAGGCACATAAAATGCCTCTTGAACTGACAAGGAAACCTGATTAACCATCAGCTTCACTGTACCCTTCCCAGCAGCTTCCAATCTGGAGTTGTTTCCTAGCGTCACACTGCATTTGAAACTGGTGTCTAAGGAGGAAAACCACCGTTTGTCACCAGTCATATGGTTGCTGCAGCCCGAGTCTAGGAACCACCAAGCTTCATGTTTTTCTGTCTTCTCACCATTATTGCCAGCTTCTTGTAATGACATTAAGTCATGTTCTTCTTCACTCACAGAGGCCATTAACAAAACATCATCTTTCATATCACCTTGAGATCTGTCCTGTGAAGGCTGGAAACTGGAGTAATGAGCTTGTTGATTGGTGTACCAGTCTGGACATTCATATTTGAAGTGTCCTAGTCTGTGACACCTGAAGCACTCAACAGATTCCTTCCCCCAGCCTCTTCCTCCACGTCCCCTTCCTCTGCCAGCAGTATAGAACCCTCTTCCTTGACCTCGTCCTCCCCTTCCTCCAAACTCATGAGAGGTTCTCAAGGCTTGATCTTCATCTGCAGTACCCTTCTTGTGGAACTTCTGCTCATGCACAATCAGAGAGCTCTGAAGAGCATCAACAGACAGCAACTCAATGTCTTTAGATTCTTCAATCGAGCATACAACATAATTAAACCTTTCAGTTAGAGTCCTTAAAATCTTCTCAACAATCTGAACATCAGTCAGATCTTCACCACAACTTCTCATCGAATTAGCTATAACCATGACTCTACCAAAATACTCAGACACAGCTTCTCCTTCTTTCATTTCCAGCAATTCAAAATTCCTTCTTAAAGCCTGCAACTGGGCTTTCTGCACCCTAGCGCTTCCCTGATACTTCACTTACATAGAATCCCACAGCTCCTTAGCAGTTCTTTTCTTAGTTATGGTTTTCAGAATTACCTTGTCTATGGAGCTGAATAAGTAATTCTTGGCCTTTAGGTCCTTGAGCCTCAAATCATCCAAAGCTTTCTGATCAGCAAGAGACAGCTCCTCCCCTGCAGCAGTGTGATATTTGGGCTCTGGGCTACGCCGTCGTCGAGATGCTGACGGGGAAGCCGGCATGGAATTACAAGCCCGGGACGAACATCTTCTTGTTCTTGATCCGAATCGGCGCGGGCGATGAGTCGCCGGCTGTCCCGGAGGAATCGTCGGCGGAAGTGAAGGATTTCCTGTCCAATTGCTTCGTGAAGGATCCCGCGGCGAGGTGGACCGCCGCGATGCTTCTTGAACATCCGTTCCTTAGCGCCGGCGAAATCGGAAACGGAGACGAAACACGAAAGAACGCCGTTTGCTGTTCGGGAGTGGAATTTCCATCGGTGTGACGGTGTCCCCGCGGTGCTCGTTCGATTTCCCCGAGCGGGTGTCGTCGTCAGTCCAATCTTCACCAGCCCGATCGGAATTCGAATCGAACCCGTTCGATTCGTTGAGCTGCTCCACCACCTCGCCAGCGGAAAGAATCCGGCAGCTGATGGGCAGCGAGTTGAGTTGGGGAGATTGAGAGAGCTGGCTGGTAGTGAGGTGATGATGATGATGGAGACAAAGAAGAGAACTTTTTTTTTCTTAAGGAAAGCAATTTGGACAGATATTTAGTAATTCTTATTTTTCCAATTTTAAATTAGGGTGGTGACTGGTGAGCAATTTTTGGTTCCTGACTGGGTTTCTTCATCTAACAAATTTAATTGATTCATTTATTTAATTATTTTCATCTCCCTTTTTTTCTGGGTTTTTGTTGGGGGAGGGGGTTTGGGAAATTGTGAAGGTAAAGTAGGATTAGAGATTAGGAGGAAACAAAGCAAAGCTGACATTAGTAGTGTTTTATTATAATATAAATTTAAATAAATTAATTTATTTATTTTATGGTTAAAATGAGTTGGACATTAAAATAGATTAAATTTTATTTTATTTATTATTTTTTAATTGCCACGTCACTAAGTTAACAGTCAACTTTGAGAGTTGACTGCCACATCAGCTAAAGTTAACGGAGTTCGATGGAGAGTGACCAAACGTGAACGGTTTCAATAAACTAAAGTACCACCAATAGATTTAAATATTTCGAGTGACTAAACTTGAACGTTTTTTGTAATCTTAGTGACCAACCATATTATAATACAAAGTGCATTCATTTCCTATCATTATCGTGACAATACCTTGAATTTTTGTTATGATTGGTTCAAGTGTGTTTTAGCAACACTAGGATTGGTTTTATACGATTGATACACTTTTGATACCGTTCTGTGCATTTTCAGGTCAAAGCAGACTAGTAAACCACTTAGCACTGGTAGAGGACATTGATTCGGGCCTAATTGTACACTTTTTACCCCCGTTTCCACTTGACGTTTGTGATATTTGAACTCCTAAAAGGTTGGTTTTACGCTAGGTTTTGTGTGTTTCAGATCCTAACAGGTGAAACCAACCCCTGAGTCGAAAGTTGGAAGAAATGGAGAGAAGACCTGGCAAAGAGGAGGAATCAGATGCAGTTCACGGCCTGGCATTGGAGTTCACGGCTTCTAAGGCCTTGAATTGTAACCACAAACCGTGAATAGCAAGGTGTCCAAGAGGGTTCCAGAGGTTACTGACGACCGGGCAGTTCACAGTCTCTAAGACCGTGAACTTTGAGTGCAAAGCGTGAACCGCAGAGAGTGAAGCGGTGCGTTTTGGAGATGACGCTGAGTTCACGGACGTGTTAAGGTGTTCACGGCCGTGAACTGGACTCGATCTGGGTATAAATACAGCAGCAGAAAGAAGAAGAAGGAGAGTTGGGTTCCCATTTTCATGTCTTGAGCTTTTGACCTAGGAGGGAGATAATCCCCTTAGAGCCCCCCTTTTGGCGTCTTTGGGTCACTCCTATCGTATATTGTCCGGCTACTTTCAATTTGATACGTATAAATTTTGTACGTAGAAAAGGGGAGTGGACAAACAACCTACCCTTTTTCTAAATCATTTAAGAACAAAGACTTAACCAATCGCTTGTAGGCGGCTAGTTAACGATTTTGAATAAAGAAAAAAATCAGTACTTGTGATTTCTAGCAAAACAAAAACAAGCTTCCATGACGGTCAGGAGAAAATGTAACCAAATCAATCACATCCGAAAGTACTAATGGTGGGATGAATCCTCCTTCACTTGCCCCCTAAGCTAATTAGAATTCTAAGTTTTTGGCGCGTCTGAATAATCAAAAGACCTGAAGGTCTATTGATTATTTGCACAATAGAATTAGAAGTGGAGTTAGCCAGCAAACCCCCTGAGTCATCTCTCTCTCTAAAAAAGAGCAGAACAAAGAAGCATCGCCACGCTCAGAGCTGAGGGAAGCCACTATATAGATAAAGGGCCACTCGGTTATCACCGCGTGTCAAACTGTGTCAGGCGACAGGCCCAAATCAATCACGAAACTCAAAATGTAGAAAACGAGAAGCTCCAAGGTTCTCACTCACAATCTGAACATGATTACACATGTGAGACACATCCACTCCAAATTTGTAGCTGCATATCACAAGTTGGAAACTTCAAACTCCCCACGTGGCACACTATTAGGAAAAATAAGGCCTTAGCCCAGGCGGTAAATTATGTGACCAAAGGTGTTCCGATTCCAATAACTTGCATCCTCCGCAAAGTTATGCTGATATCAACCCCAAAAAGAAAATGGTAGGTACAACTAATCCGTGAATAGCCAACTAGAGGGAGTTGACTTGATCCACCTCCTAGCAATATACGAAACCCTAGGTTGAATAGAGCAATACCCATCCATCGATTTGCTGTTCCGGGTCATTCCCGAGGGAGTCCATCTCCAAACGGTAGTGTAGTTGAGTCGATCGAGTTAGGAGGATACCCAACATCGATCCAAAGAATGTACCTAGGATGATTCAACCCAAGAGAGCTCCTCACCTTTTAAGTAGCTAGGTTAGTGGTTGGTCTAGGTTAGTTAGTTTAATTCTATCAAACACTATCCTTGGTTGGTTAGATAACGAATCCTAAACCCGAAGTAGGGTAAGCCTAGATCCCCGTGGTACAATAAATTCTTATTGCTTGCTTGCCCTATGCTACACCCGGTCGTCGGTTATACTTGGCTGTCGATCGGGATGTTGTAGTTAGAACTAGGGGTGTATATGGGTCGGGTGGTTCGGGTTTAGTCATTTTAATCACCCGACCCATGCACTACGGTTTGGGAAATACAAAACCCAACCCACCCAAAAAAATTTAAACCCTACGGTTTGTTTCTAATTGGGTTGGGTCGGGTTGGTGATATTTTTTAGTAAAAACCCAACCCAACATAAAATATATAATTATTCTACATCATAAATATTTTATAACTAAATAAAATTTCAAACGAATGAACCAAGGTGAAAGGTATCAAAATTCACAAATTTTGTTTAAATTTTAATAAAATGTGATTTACTTAAACATATGTCTTGGTTTTTCACGATATTTGTTGAAATATGCTAAAAATGTTATAAACAAACGCATCCATCATATGTTATTCTATTAAAATTGTATACAAGAAAAAGGATTACGCGAATCATAACTATATTCAATTTATGTCTAAACTTTTAGTCGAAGGATGCATTAGATTAGGGAGACCATGAAAGAAAAACATGGCAAAATATCTTAATTTTCTCATAAGTATATGACTATATACGACATAAATAGTTTTTAGATCCGAACTCATACTAATAGTTGGAACACGGGTTGGGTCGGGTTCTACGGGTTGTGTATCCAAAATCCAAACCCAACCCAAAAGAGGCGGGTTGTACAAAAGAAAACCTTCACCCAACCCAAAACCTTCGTTTTAGTGATAAATACGGGTGGGTTGGGTCGGGTTGGACGGGTGGGTCGGTTTGCGGGTGTATTTGTTCACCCCTAGTTAGAACGAGTCAAGTTTTTGGCACCGTTGCCGGGGAACCATTCTAGGTTATTTGAAAAAGGGTTAGGTCGTTACTTTAGCCGTTTTATTTTGTGCTTTGTGTTTGTTGACCCATTATTCTCTTAGAAGGGTGGTTTGTGTTTGTTTAATTTTGTGTGTTTTTGTTTTTGTGTTTGTAGGTTGAATCATGGATCCCAATGGCTTCTACAATATGTGGGGGTATGCACAACCACCCGAATGGGGGTACCCCAGAGCTTCATGGAGTAGTCAAGAAGGTGCAAGACAAGGAGCCGAGTTCTATGATCAACCTCTCTTCCAAGAAGAACAAGCATACCATTGAGGATTTCAAGTAGCTCCTCCATATGAAGAAAACTTTCCTCCTCAAGTCGAGGAGAAATCCAAGTTGGAGTTGGCAATGGAAGCTTTCATGGGGCATTCTTCAAGACCATGTGCCACTCCACAACCGGAGTTGAAGAGCCAATTGGAGCTCATGGTGGAGCGGTTTGTTCGAGGCACCGATGAAAAATGCTCAAACTTGGATCTCCCACAACTCGAAGCGAAGTCCAAGTTGGAGCTTGCCACGGAGAATTTTGCAAGAACAAGCTCCAACACGGATTTCCAACCCCTCCCTCCTCCCGGTTTGACACTAAAAGAGAAGGTGGCAAAAGCTTGTGCAAGCTATTGTCTCTCATTATTGGAGGAGAAGGTGGAACGGGCTTGTGCAAGCTATCACCTCTCATTATTGGAGGAGAACTAGGAGGTTGAACGGGCAATCAATGGCAACCATGTGGAGCAAGACGAACTCACCCCAGAGAGATCCCATGGCGAGGATGAACAAGAAGGTTGCATTGACGACTCTCATCACTTTCCCCTTCCCGAGAGCAACTTTGAAGACCAAGACACGACTGCGGAGGAGCAAGAATCCCTTCTATGACCTTGCATGGCATCTTGCCCTCAAATTCGTGCTTGGAGACATGAATGGGAAGGAGAAGGAAGAGGTTGAAGAGGGGGAAGTAAGCATTGAAGAAGGAGAAGATATTGATTGTTCCCAAGGGGAGGAACACATTGAAGAAGAAGGAAGGGAGGTTGAAGAAGAAGGTGCAAATGAAATCCAAGATGAGGACAAGGTCGAGGTGGATGAAGCATCCACAAGTTACGAGGGCTATGAAAGCTTTCCACCCGACCTCGACGCGCTTTTGGGGAATGACCCATTTGCGACTCTTTGCCAAGCCAAGGACAAACCATTGGCGATCCCTCTTGGTGGATGCGATGGTGGTAAATCGAGGATGCATTACATGGTGTGGGGCAAAGAGAAGAAGGAAGAAGGAAAGAAGAAGAGGTCTGGTGGGTGGAGCCTCAAAGCCACTCAAGTTCACGAGTCCTAAATCATGGACTCGTCCAATGCTCGTGATTTGAGATATCACCTCACCGACGAGAACCTCAACTTCAAGGAGGTTCTAGGCTGGACCAAAACTTGAGGAGAAACCGTCCGACTCATGACATTAAAGAAGTGCTTGGTGGGAGGCAACCCATCTACCATCGATTTGTTTGCTTTCCGCTCAAATAAGAAGACCATTGGAGAGATTTTGGTGGTGTTTTGCCATCTCCTTGCTCTTTCGGATCTCACCCGACCTCCGATCCCTACCACCAACATTCACATCGTATCCGGTAACATCGTTCTACCACCTTACTTTACGCCATTGAGGGAAATGTCAAGCTTAAGTGTGGGGCAACGAGGAGGTTGAACGGGCAATCAATGGCAACCATGTGGAGCAAGACGAACTCACCCCAGAGAGATCCCATGGTGAGGATGAACAAGAAGGTTGCATTGA